CTCAAATGGTTAAACACGATATAGTGTTGGCAAACTTCAATTAAGTTAAAGGACGGTGGCCGGTGTGCATGCATTTGCGAAATATGGGACTCATATAAACAAAGATGGCTACTTTGTGCAGACCAACGAGTACAAACTGAGACATTACTAAACTTGTATCTGGTGATTGGAAGTTATCAAAAGAGTCACCGGTGATAATTAGTGCATGTTGAACCAAGATCAAAACTCGCACTCGTGATTTCTATTATAAGAGCACATTGGATTGTGAGAAATCCACTTTCTCAAACGACCCCTGCCCTTTGAATGTTTAAAATGTTGGATAGAAGAATTTTGATAACTGAGCTTTAGTCTAATAGTTAATGTCTCATTCTCATTCTGTCATCTTTTAAAGAATCACTCCAAAATTACAACAAAAACACAGAGCCAGTTACAAAAGCATATATATAAAAACAATCAAACAAAAAGTACTTCACAAAAGGTTGACAGAGGACGCTATACAAATAAAACATTCCAAAGTCAAACAGTGAATTGCAGAACTTACTATGAACTGTTCCACGTCTCTTTCTAAATCTACATTGGGTAAATCAGGCATCATATGGGAAACAACTTTGAAGCCAGCGTCCTTGGACATATGAAACGATTCACAGACAGCACGTACTGTATGCCCTCTGTAGTGAGAAAATAGAAATTTAGTTCTATGAATTCTTATTCTCGGGATGGACATCCGGCATTTTCACCGCCTGGTTGTTAAGACTCCCCTGAACAGTGTAACAAGATTACCCCTGCATGTCCAACATATATAAATTTGTTTGTTCAGGATTACTTCAAAGTTTAGTTCGTGCCGTTTTCTCAAATTTAGCTATTTTCACCTTCTCTTTGACCGGTGTTCCACAACAGCTCGCGCAGAGCCCATAGAAATACGTGCTACAGTGGTGCGCGTCTTAGCAACGTGGAACGTCTTGTGATGTAGCTCCGCCCCCGAAGATATCGCAAATATCTGGTTGATAAAAATGAGCAGGAATACAAATTTTGAGTTGAGAGGGCACCCATATTCAAGGTCAAAATTAATAAAAATGGCTCTGAACATAGGAATAGTAGTGTACAATATTATTATTAAAATCTGTAGTCATTTGAAAACAAATTGAGTTGAAGCATAATTAAACTCTGGTGACCTTGCCCTTTGTTTTGCTAATGTGTATTAGAAATTATTCCTTAAACTAGACATCGAAACTCAGTCAAGTATTTTCATGGGATTTTGGAGATACATTATTGATTATAAGACAAATGATTCGCCACATTGAACATATACCATAATGTATATTCCTCTGGGACCAGTGACCTTTGAATGCATATCAACAATGTGATCAGTCAAGTAGAAATAGTCTACATTTTTTCATTCGATTTGGACTACTACTTTCTCAATTTGTGCATGATATTTTCATACAGGACAATTCTCGTTCTAACTTTGGGAAGATTTTATACTGATGAAAAAAGTGACCAAGTTTGATAATTTTTGGATCAGAATTACTCAAGTTATCATATACAAATCAACAATTATTAGCGACATCGATAACAGACATTTTCCACTGATATTCCTTTTCCCTTCATTTTTGATGTCACCGGCAAGGTAATAATCAAAGAAAGCTTAGAAAGAACACCCATGTGCTGAGAGTATTCGAGACACATTAAATATAATTTGAAATTACTTAGCTGAAAACTAATTATGCAAATCAGAAAATTAACATGAACAGATTTGATTGTAAAACTAATGAGGTCTGCGCAATGTAACAAAAACTCTATGTACCAAGTTTAATTGAAATGTGATTAAAACCAAAAAATTGTGAATTATTACACTAATTAGGGAAATAATATGAACAGAGTTTTACCCCAAACTAATTAGGTTTGTACATTGTCCTAGAGCATCTTTGTACTAAGTTTCATTAAAATGGAAATTAGTACTTTAGGTATCAGTGTGAAAGCTTAAAATTGGTTAATTATGCAAATTGGGTAATTAATATGTACAGATTTTAACCCACAATTATCCAGGTCTGTCTATTGTCCTACAGCATCCATGTATAAACATTCATTGATATGTGATGATTAGTACCTGAGATATCAGTGTGAAAGTTGGAAATTGGTTAATTATGCAAAT